ATTGTCCTTACTTGAATAATGCAAATAAATAAATTTCATTTTCACATAAATCACATGCAAATATATAATATCACACAAATAAATTTACATGTTCTTTTATATAAATTTTGGAATAATTATATATGAATATATAATATACATCATGTTTTCATTATCCACTCACCTATACATGAATACATATATTATCTTTATAACTGGTTAATGTGAATAGCACTTCAATAAAAATATGTATATTTCAATGTTTGTGTTTTTGTGCTCTTTGTAAAGATACCTAGGAGTAGAATTGCTGGATTATATGGTGCTGATGTTTAGGGATTTCTTTGTTTTTATGGTTCTGGGGGTCAAACCCAAAGCTTCATTTAATCAAAATAACTACATTATTACTGAATCACATCCCTTTTTTCCTTTTAAGTTTTTTTTAACTTTATTTTTTATGTGTGCTAGAGTATGAGCATAGGCATTCTGCATACAAGGAGCGTTCATTATCATTCAGCCACACCCCGGCTCTGTTTTTAAGAAATATTTTGAGAAACTACTATGTTGAGAAACCAGAATTGAATCCTATCATACACACAGTTAATTAACAATAAAGTCAAGAGCAAGAAAAGTCAGGAACAAGAAGAAAAATTACTCTCAACAAATGGTATTAAGAGAACTGGATAGTCACGTGCAAAAGAAGGAATCTGTATCACTATCTAAAACATGCACCGAGTTAATTAAAATGGATTAAGTGCTTCAGTATTAAACCAAAAACCTATAAATACATTGAGGAGGATTTAGGCAAAACTCCATGGTATTGGATTTCATGTTGTATTTAGGGATTTGATTTCAATGGCAAAGGAAATGAAAACAAAAATAATTGTGATTTCATTAAACTAAAAAACTTATATCTCATGAAAACAACTTTCCTTAAGTGAAAAGTATCTTGCTGAATGCAAGAAAATTTTGCAAATCATGCATATGACTGAGCACTAATATCCAAAATGCATAAGGAATTCACAAAACTCAAGAAATTAACATGAAATAATCCCATCAAAAGTTTGAAGAGCTGAACAGTCACTTACCAAAGAAGTGTTATAGCTGGTCAGCAGATAAAATAAAAAATGTTGATTATCAGTTATTTTGGGGAGATATAAATCAAAACTCTGCATTTTGAAAAAAAATCTTTTTTAAAAATCTTTCCTAATCCTAGAAAAATATTCTAATTCCTAGTCCTGCTATTCACATATCTATAACAACTACCTCAGTTTTATTTTTCATCAATTTTTTTTTAATCTGGTCATTTGCTTTTTGTACTTTAGTTATTCACATTCTCTACTTGTATGTTTCACTTTTACATCTGCCTGATCATACTAAGACTGTTTCTGTCATGTACTACATATGTTTTTTGTTAATCTTTGCTCCTAAAATTTTATTCATTCTTCAAAGTTGAACACAAATGCCAATTCTTTATATCCTCTTTTTCCGTTATTCCACCATATAAAATAGAAAACTCCCATCTGAAATGTAGCAAAAAATTCTATTTCTTTTGCGTTCTTTTTATACATATCATATGAGGTTCTGAGATTTAAGAGGACAGCGATTTGTGGCATTTTTTTTTTACAAAATACTTTACAGATCAAGAAATAAGTTAGTTGAGATCTACCTTTCTTTAAAAGTGATTGCTATCATTAGGTTCAACGATGAAATAATAAATCATATATCCTGGTTGAATAGCCTTCAAAGAATACAAAGTAATTGTTATGCATGCAACTAATTTCTCTCTTCCATACACTTACTATATTAAGAAGATACCTCTTCTCCAGACATAAAGAGAGGGAGAAGTTACCAAATCATCCAATCTTTTTAATGCATACATTTACTGCAGTGAGACCGACAGCACTGTGATTGTTCACAGTGTAAAACAAAAGAAATATTGTTTAGGAACTTATGAAAAGGATTCTTAAAGATGGGAATCATTAGCTAGTACATGAGTTTGTAAGCATACTAAGTAGAATGAAATTTAAAACAAAATCAGTAGTTTCTACCCAGTTCCTACCACAAACCTGAAAATAGCAAGCATTTTCTTAAGCATTGTACTGAAGCATTTTCTTAAGCATATGTCAAAATTGAAACATTTGACTACAGTAGTATATTTGCTCTTACAGACTTTTAGGCTGCCTAGCATCAAATTTGCTTAACCAGGACGGGGGTTTTGATCACAAAAGAGTAAGGTATATAATACGATAAACTGTATTTTCTTAGTGAAAAAAAATGTTATAAAGATATGGTTAGAGGGGAATATCAGTGTAATTTGTTTTTTAAAGATTTATAATAAGTTATAACTATGTTAAGTTTTGATGTTTGTTACAATTCATTTATAAAAGGTTTGTTGACTAAATATTAACTGTTGGAGAAACCATGTCTAATAAGTTTATGGAACAAACATTGAAAATTAGCTTTTGGGGAAAAAAGGTTATTTAAACATAGGATAGATCATACAACTGAATAATTGTAAAATACACAACAGAAATAATTTCTAAATTTAAATTATACAATAATATAAAATCCAGATCCCGGAACCGCGCGGCTGCATTCGCGGCCGCGCGACATCTCAACAGAACTTTTTTTTATGACATCTTATTGTCTTATTCCTACTTTTGACAAACTTGCAGGCTATCGAATGTAGCCTGCCCACAGGGCAGAGTCTGGCAAACTCCCCGTGGCGTACCAAATATGCCAAATACCAGTAACAATGATGGGTCTCATTCTCCTAAATAGCCTTGAATATAATCTCAGGGCTAGGATGAAAGAGACGTTACTGGGGCCTGCTCGGGCAATCGACGAATAACAGGATGATGAAATGAAATGAAATATAATAATAATGAATTCAGAGATATCATATAACTTTAACTATTGATTATATTTCTAGATTTTATTCCTGTTAGTACTCCACTCTAGCATAACCCTGACAGGAAAAATGACACTTTTTTATGATAAGAAGAACTCTTTTGACATTGGACCAAGCTCAACTGATAGTTTTTATAGCCCAACAAGAGACCAAGTTATCATTACCTGAAGGGAAACACTTAAATCATCTAAAGATCGCTCTCTCATTCTTCATAAAAGGTTCAATTGAGTGATGTGGTGTTCTAAGTCTCTCCTCACTGATGGCAAGGGTTCATTTTGCTATTGAACTGACAATTCTTGCTCTCTACATGGGTAGATTAGAAGGAATGCTTGTTAAGGAAATTCTAGGAACAGAGCTGATGCATTCTAAAGGGGGTTTTGGTTTCTAGCATCAATCACAAATGCCTATATTGAAAAAAAAGTTATCCAAGTAGCAAATGATAGAAACAAAATGATAAAACAAATGTGTGGGAGAAAAACATATTAGAAGAGACTTTAAACTCTTTATGACTTGTCTAGCTCACCAGTATAGAACTAAAATACAAACTGGGGAAGTAACTGTGGTGATAACTGAATTTTTTTTGAAGTAAATAGATTTTATTTGGGGGTTTTGGAGAGGAAGAGAATGAGAGAGTAACGTACTCAAGAGAGAACATGGGCTTCTCCAAGTGCGGAGAGAGCCCCTACGCACATCCTAGCATTAGACACGAAAACGTGAAAGTACACATCTCAAGAGGGGGGATGCGGGCGACAACACATGTGCTTATCCCACATGTGCTAGGCCACGTAGGTGCAAGCAGCACAAGGGCTCAGGCAGCATATGCGTGTGATAACTGAAATTTTTAAGGCCTTCATTCAATGGTCTTTCATGGAGATTGGATATTATTTTACATCAAATCCCAGAATTATAGAAAATAATTCTGGTAACAAACATTGAAAATTCATTACTGTATCTGCGTAGAGGTGGCCTTGCCATAGCCTAGTCTCAGATAATTTGGTCTATAGTTGGTTCCTATAGAGCCATGTTATTCTCTTATAGAAGATAAATTAAAAATTACTAAAGGATAAGGATTTGAAATTAATATGTAGTGAGGCCCATAGTCACTGTAGGAAGTATCTATCCTCTCTTTTCCCACAAAAAGGCTATCTTTCATATTTAAACTTTAGTGGGTCATGTTCCACTACATCATTGTTAAAACTATTTGGTATAGATTTTTGTATCTGCTTGTTGGCATATTTATATTTTATATAAAGATTTGTGATCAGCCAGACTTAGCCATAATTACTTAGATATTTTCATATTGATTATATGTCTACCCCTTTGTGCCAGTATTGTTCTATAGTATTATTCAATCATTCTCAAGGTTAGGTAGATTCTTAAATTAGTATTTGTTTCCATTACTCTATCCATATTGAACACATTATTTTACTTGTATATGAACCTATCTGATTACATACATTTGGCCTCTAAGAGTTCTCAGGAAATAAATATAAATATTTTGATATTGTACTGATAGCTAATACAGTTACTATTTTACACTGTCTTATCTGCTTTTATACAATTAAATTAAGCTTCAGAACCATTAATACCTAAGCTCTATAAGCAAGAAATAAAGAGATTGAATAATTTTCTATGGAACCATGGAAAATTAATGACAAGGCCAGGATTTGACCTGAAATTTCTTGGTCCCTGAGTTTCTTCTGCTATAACTAACCTTTCCTTGGTTGAACGTGAAGTAAAGTAGTTTTGTTACTTCAAAGCTATACTTTAATATTATTTTGAACATGGGAATCAATTCCTTTAACATATTATGAGCTTGTAAAAACAAGAAGCATGCTCTATTAGTTTTGCTATATATAGTGCTCAATAAAATTTTTATTACTCCTGAATTACTGTTTACTAATACCCTTATGTATTCAATCTAAGACATTTATTTTTTAATTTACTGAATTTAAGTCAATAAAAATTTTAGGCCCACAAAACAAAAATGTTGTCCAGTTATTACCTTTAAGAGGAATAAAACAGTCTGTGATTGATACAGGATAATTCTAAAATCATGTTACTTGTTTGAATTTTCTTTTCTTTTCTCTAAAAATGTTCTCTCCTGCAGGGTGCTGCTTTAATTAGAATGCTGGCTAATTTTATGGGCCATTCAGTATTTCAGAGAGGTTTGCAAGTAAGTAAAATGCTTTTATTTGTTATAATTTATAGGTTTTTTTTAATAGTGTATAGCTTTTTTTACATTTACCTTGCCTGTATATTGTTTTAAAAATATTTAACAGCTCAGAAAATGGCTAGTAGAAAATTGCTGGATTTTAAGGGAAACTCTAATATGAATAAGGTAAGCAGTGTCTTTTCATATGATAAATGAAAGTTGTAGTTTGAATATTTGCTGTATAAATTGATGATAAAAGCAAGATTTGTGTAATTTAGAATATTCATGATTTTTAATTGAAGTAATTTTCTAGTATGTTATGTCCTAAATAATCCTTATAAGATTTTCAAAAAAACTACTTCCCTTTACTTCCAAAAAAAGTTTATAAAAAGTCAAAAAGTTAGTTTACTTAGAATTATGCATTTGAATGTTCATTCAAATTTTCAGATATGTGCTTTCATGTAGTTTTACTCTTGATGTACATATATTTTGTCTCAAAGATACTTACATGTTTTTAATTATGAAATGCAATTTATTTTAAGAGGATTTTATCATACTGTATTTAGAGTATGAAATACAGAATTCAAGAATGGGTTTTCACAAAGGTTTTTTTTTTTTAACTCTTTAAAGCAAACATAAAATTAAAAATAAAAACTAGAACTTTTATTCCTTTGAGTATATTGAAGTAAATCATGTTCCTAGCAGCTGTGATTGATGAATTATTTATGATGCATTCTGCTACTTAGAAGTGTCCTTTAAAGTAAATTGATGTTCACCTGAAATACAATTATGCTAAGACAGAGAGAGCAATCAATCTTATCTGTTCTTACTAAGCTTTTCATTTTGAAATTTAAATAAACTACATATGGGATCAGGTCATATTTTAGTAGTATATTTCTATCTTTACCCCAAATTAGCTAAAACAAAAAGTAAAAGTTAAATATGTTATGATGAATTTATGTGTAGTTAATGAAACAGAGGGGGAAAAGAACATAAATTGACTAGAAAATAATTTCCCTTAGAAAACGTTTTTACAGACTTGCTTTAGCCGGGGTGGAAGTTTAATCAGCACTTTCTATTAGGGACTTCTTCAGGATAGCTGAATTCCGTTGAATTTATTTGCCAGATGCTAAAGTCTATTCTGATCACATAGCTGGGACAATCCTTTTTTCTCATAAAATGCCCTCCATGAATATCAACTCTGGTTTGGAATGTCCTTCGGTATATGTCCTCCTATATTTGCCCCCATTGATGTTGTAGCATGACAGCTTCAGAAAATATCTAAGCTTTCATAAGGGGAACACAAATTGAATTTGATTTCCTGGAAGCAAGTTGATATGAAATCATTTTCTGTATACAATTTTTATTGTTTTTTTCCACGCCTGTGTGTATGGATTTGCTCGTCAGATTGAATAACTATAGTTATATTATTATTTGGAAATGATTATTGTTGTTTTGCACCATTTTTCTTTATTCTGTCAGACTTTTAATGTTATGCAAAATACATCAATTTTCACACACCCTTTTCAACTGACCCAGTCTAGATGCTTAGAAACAGAATATCAGAAACAGAATATACCCTCTGACTCATTACATTAAACTTTCATATGAAGCGTATATGGATATCTGCTCTAGTACTTGATTTGGTTAATTTTCTGCTGAGGACTCTATGTTTGTCAACATTACATTTCATTTGCCTTGTGACATCCCATTGATCAGATAGATCTGTATCCTTCAGTACTTTGCTTGCAGCTTTATTTATACTCATCACTCAAACTGATTTAATGTATCATCAGCAGTTTGGATTAGTTTACAGTAGATCCCTACATCTAAGTGATAAATTACCATCTCTGGGACATGAAGATGTATGGGATACATTTTGGAAATGACCTCTTGAACAGACACTTCATGTCATGATACTGAGTGGTCACAGAGTTGATACTCATATATTTTCTGTCCAAAAGGCTCTCGGGAGTTTTGGTTTACATGTTGTTGAAAGAGCTAATCTGGATTGTCAGTTCTTACCTCTATTGGAAAATCTATTAATTGTTTTTACATTAACCATCATTATTTCTGTGTTTACAAATGAGGGTTTCTGTTTGCAGACAGGCACAGGGTAAGACTTCAAATATAAGTAATTCCCAAATTACATTTAAAAAATATCTTTAGACATTTCCTCTTTCCCTTTTTTATTGCTATCTTCTTTCCTATTTTCATTTCCTCTCACTTCATTTCTCCCTCTCCTTCCGTTTCCTTTCTTCTCATATTTCCTCTTAGTATTTGAAGCTCAGCTCTCATGCTCCATAGAAGAAATGTATTATAATGGTAGTTTCTTCTAAATTTTGTTTTCTCATGTTTTTGTTACTCCTATGACCCATCTTATGTTCTTTTGAAACAAGATATACATTTTTTTTACAAGTACAATCACTACGCACATTTTTTGTATATAACATAATTTATTTTCTTAAATTGCACAATTAAGTTTGGTTGTTTAATTTGGTCTAGCTGTTTTAATTTAATGAGAAAATATATAAATGTTTCTGCACGAAAGTGTGTCTTCTTGAGCTTATATCTGAGTATTGTGACTTGTCTGCGTTGTCCCTGTTCAGGTGCTAGTTTGAGTCATGGTGCCATGATGATTGGGGTTCCCTGGTGAGTTCAGAACCAATGACCATCCCTCTGGCCAGTGGACAGGCTGGTAACCAGTGACCCTTTATTCAAATCTATCAACATGATTATAGAGAAATCAGAATTTGTGAAGGATTTAGGATTTATATATAAATAAATATATAAAGGACAAAAAAGGAAAAAGCAATATTTCACTTATATATACAAAATCCAAAGTCTCAGAAGGTTTGACTTGATAAGTTTGAGTGTCTGATTTGGAGATATTTGTGACTAATAGAAAGAGTAAGAAGAGCACAAAGGAGAGGTCAAAGATAAACACAGAGGATTGGAAGTGACCAGATGGAATTGAGTGTGCCCCCAGGAGCTCTAGAGTGGGTGTAGTTCAATTAACCTAAACTCTGTGTGGGAGGAGAAAGGACAACCCAGTGTTAAGCTTGGAACTATACTCCAACGATGAATGAGTGGCTTTCAATAATGCAGTGCTATAACTATAGTCAAATAGGACATTTTCTTGATCCATACACTTTCCTAGCATTATGTCTTTTCAGCATTGAAAAACACATTTTAATTAATTAAGTCACCATGATTTACAAAGATGTCACAATAGAATATTCTTTTAGACATATAATGTTGCCACACAAATCCCACCACCAGTGTCCTCAGAGTTCCTACCATCCCCCAGACTGATTCCTTAGCAGACACATTACATTTTTTTCATATCTCTTGATCTAACTAAACAAATGGAATTATCAGAAGATAAATCAATAAAGTAAATTTGTACTGACTAATTACTATACAGGGCTGGAGCGATAGCACAGCGGTAGGGCGTTCGCCTTACAAGTGGCCAACATGGCCGACCAGAGTTCGATTCCTCCGCCCCTCTCGGAGAGCCCGGCAAGCTACCGAGAGTATTCTATATGCCAGACACAGTAACAACAAAGTCTCCAATGGAGACGTTACTGGGCTTGCTCGAGCAAATCGACGATCAACAGGAGGGCCTTTACCTTAGTTACTATACAATTTTAACTTATGTGAATAAGAAAATTCAAATCCTTTAAAACAGTATAGTATACAATATACTATTCTCACTGGCATAACTTAAGTTTTTAACTCTAGCATATAAAACATAGTGCATTAAATTTTATTTTGTACTTGAACCTTTTTGTGGTATCATATGTTCACTGTCATGGATGAAACTTTTTTTCTTTTGCCCCCTTGGCAGGCATATAACAAATTTATTTCATATTACTTGGTCTAAAAAATGCATTAACAATGGCAAATAGAATTATTAGAAAATAAATCAGTGAAGGTAAGTTTGTGATGATTAATTACTATATTTTTCAACATATCTTAATCTAGTGTAGGACAACCATATACAACATTTGTAAGTACTATATTCAATAACACTGAGAAGTTTTTTTTGTCCTTTAAATAAGCTCTTTTAACACTTCATGCACAACTGATTTCAAGGCTATGAATCCTCTGAGTTGTTGCCAATCCATGAAATTCTGTATAATTTCTTCAAATCTGAATTATAATCTAACCAAATAGAATATCTTGGTGAGGTGTTCAGTTCATTGAAATTTTGTACTATATCTTTCCATATTCTTCTGGCTTGTAGAATCTCATTTGATAGATCTTCTGTACATTGTATGGAGTTGTATATAAGTTCCTTTCTTAAATCTTGCTACTTTCAATAATTTATCTCTGTTTAGATTTTGAGTTAAATATGTCTTGAAGTTTTTCTATTCGCATCAAGTGTTCATTGAAATTCTTCAGGCCTCCGCAATCTTGGTGCTTGTAATCCTCAGCTCCTTGAAGCTCTTATTGATTATTTAATTAACTATTGTTTCCTCACGTTTGCTTTTCTGTTCTTCAGGGACTCCAGTGATTCTTATATTGTTCCTCTTCATCTCACCTCATAGTTTTCTAGTATGCCGTTCATTTCTTTTCAGACTATTTTCCACTTTCTGCTGTTTCCTAGTAGTTTCCTCCTACTCATTTTGGAGCACCTCAATCTTTTGTTCAGCGTTTGTTATTCTGCTGTGAAGAGCAGACTACCTCTCTTCCCTGTGCTTCCTAATGCCCTGGCAGCTATGACTATGCCCCACTGTTATGTCTCTCCTAGTTCCAGAGACTTATAAATAAATCTCAAAAAAGATCAACTAGACACAGAAATTTCTTAGATACTCTTCCCTGTCTTGAGAACTCCCAGGTGATCTTGGGAAAGGGACAGGCAAGATCCTACCTTACCAAAGCCCTGCACGCCTCTGGTCAAACTCCACAGACTCAAGATTGAGCTCCACAGAGAACCTAAATTGCAGAACATTTTAGGTACACTGTGTGTGTGTGTGTGTTTGTGTGTGTGTGTATCTGTGTGTGTGAAAACTCCA